TATTTGCATCAGATAACCGAGCAGTGTGCCCTGGGATTCTGCACTGGCAAATGCCGCTTATGTGACTGTCTGCCGCCCGGAGCATCCATAGTGCCCTAGGGGAAGCACGGAGAGAAGGGTCAACTGTGGCGAATGTGTTGGATGTGTAATGTCATTCATCTACCTCTGCCTGTTGGCGTCTTGCTGACTGGGAGTGTCACTGCACATACGGGTGTAGAGGAGGAGATGTTTAGGGTGGGGAGAAATGCCCCAAATAAGTTTTTTCTTTTTAAATATGGTGTGGTCTTAACATGCCTTGGAAGTGCCCTCTCTCAAGGATTATCTGAAGAGTATGAATTTCAAAGTGCATGGTATTGGGGATCTTTGGAAAACAATGGGTTTTTGCTTCTGAGGTCACAAAAGCCCAGCCATGCGAAATATGCACATTTTCAGTAGAATAAGATCGTTCGCTCGTGTGTTTTGTTAAAGATAGCCTTGCCACATGGACTGGAAGATTGACAGCATTCCTAAGTGAAGCTGCAGCTACTCCTTCCCCCTTGAGAGCCCTTCCACCCGATCTCATGTGCCGTACACACTTCCTGCAGCTACTTGAGTCTATAATTGGTTTTGTAAATTAATTGGCACAAACTCCAGTATCCATTTTACTCCCAGCAGCTCCAAGGTAAGGAGACATTTAGATGGTGATTAGATTTCTTACTTCCTTCCCTTTCCCTTTCAAATCTCTCCCCCCCCCGTCTGTTTGTCTGTCTCTGTCTCTGTCTCTGTCTCTCTCCTGTGTGTGTCTGTGTGTCTCTGTTTCTGTCTCCTCTGTGTGTGTGTGTCTGTGTGTGCATTCCTGGGTTCCAGTCTTCCCCTGGCACGTTGTTTGAGAGAGTGTTTTTCCCACCAGGTCGAGCTAGCCAGCCCTTAGCATCTTGGGATTGTCCTATCTCCCGCTCCTATCTCGTCTGGGAGTCCTGGAATTGCAGACAGGTGCTGCCACATCCGGGTTCTGCAGATCTAAACTCAGGTTCTCATACTGCTATAGCGCGCTCTGCCCATGGGGCTAACATTTCAAACTTATCGTGGTTTCCTGCCTCTTGCTCTCTCATTCCCTCCCTGGATCAGAACCTAGAACTCCTGTCCAGCCCTCACCGCTTACCTTTGCCAAGAGCATACTGAGAAGTGAGAGCAGGGATGTCCACTGGGACTATTACTCTGGTCGGGTGGCTGAGACAAACTTTGTACCAGAGAACTCAAGTGTTCCTACTTGATGGTCTGGGACAGTTTACTGTACTCTTCCCAAAATTCCACAACAGACAAAGAAATTGGAACAGAAAGGGGAAGAAAATGATTTTAGAATATGTTTGAGCATACCAGGAAAAAACCTTACCTTCAGTTAGATGTCCGCGCACTTCTTAATTTTTCATCACTTTGGCTGAAATGAGAAATCTTAAAACACAAGAGTTTTTTTTTTCTTCTTCTATCATTTCCCAAGGACCTATACTTCATTTATTTTAAATTTTAAAATTCATCTTGATTTATTATTATTGTATGCATACGTGCGTGAGTGTGGGCACGCAAGTGCACAGTGCATGTGTGGTCAGAGGACAGCTTTGGGTACTGGTCCTTTCTCTTCTGCTGATGGCTCTGAGGACCCATGTTGTCAGGCTTGACTAGCATTTTTATACCCCGAGCCATTTCAGCTTCTTTAGCTAAAGTTTGCCGTTTGCATTTTTAGAATACTTTAAATAATCAAATTATGAGTTTAAACATGAGCAGTTTCAGAAACTGCATATGAGATAAACGTTATTTTGAATGGGTTTCAAAGTAATTAAAGAGATGCATTCATTTAAATGATGTAGAAACACATGCCAGCGTTTATTTCAAAGTGATGGGATTATGACTTTTCCTGAAGATTACTAACTGTGATTGGTCATATTTTTGTGATGAATCTAGACTATATAATCATTTGCTTTTATTTAAACATTCTAGTAGACAATAAGTATCTTTTAGAGAGCATATTTAGATGTTTAGATGGAAGTTACAACATCTCAGTGTGTAATTCTTCCAAGTCAGTGCTTTTTTTTTTTTAAATTAAAATAATCTTAGACTGTGGATGAGCTCAGTCAGTAGAATGTTTGCCTAGCATGTGTGAAGCACTGGGTTTGATCCCAGCTGGGTGTCAATTGGATGAGGTAGTGTATGCTTTTAATCTCAACACCGAGGATGTGGATGCAGAAGATCCGGAGTTTACTACAATGAGTTCAAGACCAGCCTAGGAATCCTGACATCCTGTTCAAGATAGATAGATTCATAGATAGATAGATAGATGATAGATAGATAGATGATGGGTAGATAGATGACAGATGATAGATAGATAGACAGACAGACAGATAGGTAGATAGATAGGCAGATAGATAGATGGATGATAGATAGATGGATAGATGGATGATAGGTAGAGAGAGATGATAGATGATAGATAGATGGATGGATGGATAGATAGATAGATGGATAGATGGATGATAGATGAAAAGGTTTGGATGTCATTTCACAGATGAAAAGTTTGTTTTGAAAGAATGGGCTGATTCTGGCAGTTGGAGACTAGAGAAGATGGAGGGTTTCTCACCAGAGGTTTTCCTGTATCCTCAGGTTGATCTTACTGTACCTGGTTCTCTCCCAGGGTACTTAGTAACCTAACCCCTGTTCAGATCTCATATGTCTCCTTTATAAAACTTGGCCCCACCCCCAGGACCAGAGGTGGAGGCTGGGTTCTGCCTTGTCTCTCCTTGAACTTTTCAGGATCCCCAAGGACACGTGTAGCCTTTTTGTGCTGCTTCGTAAAAACATTTTTAAAATTAAAAATTATTGTTAGCTTTTCTTTCACTATTATACCAGCATCTGGGTCCAGAAGCCAACTAGGATGATATTTAAACCAAACAGAATGACAGTAGAAAAATCTCCAAAACGAAGCTATCACGTATATTCGAATACATATGCATTCTCTCATTTAAGTTAAAACATCCAGAGCTGCAGCCACCAGTCACATCAGAGTTCCTCACAGCTGCGGGTTGTAGCCATTGTCTTCAGAGCTGAAGGGCCGTGGAGGAAAATCCTGCTAATTAAGTAAGCCATCTGTCTCTCTGACTGTGTGCTGCTGCTGGCGAGAGCTGTGCAGTTCAGGTGTGAACGATCTACACTATGGCATGGCTCAGCTTCACGTGGAGCTCTGATTCTAGCTCAGGGCCAAGCTTCTATCTTTTATTCTGTCTGTATAGTCTGAAAGTGTTAATTTCTTTTGGTTCTCCTTTGCTATCATTAGTTTTCTGTTAATTTTTTTCTTTAAGAAAACATTGTTTTGGTTGCGACAGGGTCTCACGTAGTTCTTGCTAGACTTAGGTTTGTTATGTAGCCAAGGAGAATGACCTGGAACTTGTGCTTTTCCTGCCTCTACGCCCCGAGTGCTGGGAATACAGGTGCACTGTACCATTCCTGGTTTATACTGGGCTAAGGATGGAACACAGGGCTTCTTTTGTATTAGGCAAATTACCAACTAAGCTATGTCCGTAAGTTACAGCAAAAAAATTTTACCCATAGAAAGAATGTCTTTTTGAAAAAAGGTTTTGTTTTATTTTTAATTATGTGTATATGTGTGTGTCCTTGTGTCTGTATGTGGCTATGTGCAGATGGGTGCAGTTGCTGTGGGAGGGAAGAGGGCACCAAATTTCCCAGAGCTGGAATTATAGGCATTTGTGAGCCACCTAATGTGGGTGCTGAGAACCAAGTGTGTATCTTCTGTCGTAAGAGCAGTAAGTGCTCGTCTTGACTGAGCCATCTCCCCAGCGCTGAAGAATCTGCCTACATGGAGCCAGTCTATTTACAGATGAACTGACAGGCTGGAGAATTACTGAATAAATACCACGCTTCACACGTGAAATAAAATGTCACACTTTGAATTAACTACGGCCTTTGGAAAAGCCATGACTGTGTTTGCATAGGACTAACATTTTGATTTTGGAACAATATCTTTAGTGAGTAAAAAAGAGAACAGCCCATCGTGTTTCACTGGGTTTTGTGTGCTCCAAACATTCTAACACTTCTGGATAGTTCCCGATACACCTCCAGTTCTGTACAGGAGCTGTAACATGAGGGGCAGGCTTGTTGGGGTATCTGTCCCACCCAGTACCCCACAGCTGGCAAGCCCCAAAGAAAATCACACACAGGACTCCATAAGATTATAAACTGGCCCATTAGCTCAGGCTTCTTGTTAACTCTTACAGCTTATATTAACCCATTATTCTGATCTGTGTTAGCCATATAGCTTGTTATCTTTTTCAGCTGTCAGCTCACATGCTGCTTCTTCTGTGGTCTGGGCAGGAATGGCAGAGGGAGCTTCCTGCTTCCCAGAATACTCCCGTTCTCTTTGCTCCACCTCTACTTCCTGTCTGATTTTTCCCACCTATACTTCCTGCCTGGCCAATCAGCATTTATTTAAAATATGATTGACAGATTACAGACAATTCTCCCGCACTAAGGAGCAGCTTCTCTTTGCAGAGGAGTGGAACCATGTGCTAGAAACAGAACCATCTACAACCATCAGAACACCCAGTCAGCACAGGATCTTTCTCAGCCGGTGCCACTGTGGAATTCTTTCTCCGGGCAGGAGAACCTGGCTGTTTGAATGGATGCTATGCATCCATTCATAGGAAATTCTGGTGCTGTTCCTCAGAGATCCTGGCCTTGTTTCTCAGCCTATCATTCATGCCTTCACGGGACTTCCCGGGCTCTGTCCCATCGTGTATCAATCATGCGTGTATTCACAGGAGACCCTGGCTTTGTTTCACTGTGTATCACAAATCCACAGGAAATGTTTTATTGTGTATCATATGTGTCTTCACAGGAGATCCTGGCTTTGTTTGAGTGTGTATCGTGCATGCTAGGAAAGCATTTTACCGACTGAGTAACATTCCCAGTCCAACGATTAACTGTTAAAAACAAGCAAACAAGCAAGCAAACCATGCTGAGGTTTGACGAGTCTGTTTATTCTGTCCGATTTCTCCAAACATGGAAACCACCAGAAGAAATCAATCAAAAGAGGATGGGAAATGACTGAAGAGCAGACAGGAAATGCCATCCGCGCTACCCCAGGCTCATCTAAGGAGCATGGGCTCAGGCCACAGTGGCAAGTGAAATCCAATAGCTCCTTCCTGCAAGGACATCTCGGTCACCAGGGAAGAAACACCAACTGTGAGGTTGAGGAGCCCCACCATGATATATTTTCTTGATTTGTACATACATGCAGCCTTCAGGTGGGCAAGGTGGGGCAAGGCTCCCAGTCCCTAAAGACCCATGGCTTCCGCAGCACCTGGCTTGAACTGAGAAGCGTGGGAAATGAGCTTAGGTTCATAGTGCAAAGTCAACGTAAACACACCCTTCGTCCATAGGTTGCCTTTATGTTTGCTGTTGTAGCTATGTTCAACAGTAAACAAACAAAACAAAACAGACTATCTTGCGATTTAGTCCAAACACCAAGTTTCAGCTTCTTATTAAGCTTGATGCTGTGAGTGTCGTTTCTAGCATTTCCTTATTATAGTGCATTGTGTCTTCCTTCTGGACTGATTGTTGCTGTTTGTTAGTTTAGAAATCTTGTGTCACACGCAGAAACAGAACAGAAAAATACCAGCAATTTGGGATAACAGCTCTCTCCTCTTTTCTATTTAAGAAGCACAGCCTTAGTAAAAATGTCTGAGACTAGGAGTGTATTGCTGGCCCAGGGGATAAAGCAGGCAGGAGACCAAAGCCTAAGTTCCTCCTTCCCAATGATTTTATTAATGGCTCCCAGCAGACTTTTCACTGCAGAGCCGGATTTCCTCCCATTGTGTCTCCTGGTGACCTCTGAGAAATAATTCTGCAGCGCAGGGTGCATGTGACACCTTTCAGATTACTGGCTTGCAATAACGAGATGTTTATACCTGAAAATACTGCCAACAAAATTTTATTAGCAGGGTAAGGGAAGTACTTACGCCTCCTATTATGCCAATTGTTGCTCTTTGTATTCTGCGTCGTTCCGAAGCTATTTTGAAAGTGTTTTCCTTGAGTACCTTAGCCGTCAACCAGAACTTGGGCTTAGCAGGGAGCACTCTCGGAGGGTTTCACAGATTGTGATTGTGACTCCAGCTTTGGAGAGCTGCCGTATTTGGGGGCAAGAGGTTGAAAAGCACAACGGGTCTTGAAGACGAAATGTTCCAGGTGATTTTTGTCAAGGACAAGTGAATTTTTTTTTTTTTTTATTTTTGAACAAGTTTTGGTAAGTTCAAAACCGTTCCTAGAAAAGATGTGGCCGCTATCATATCCGTTGTCATTTCCATGGGGCTTGCCCACAGGGATTACCGTGCATCTGGAGACAGAAGGGGTAAACAACAGAGTCATCTCAGGAAGGGTGGGTAGGGAGTCGCTGATTTCCGATCCCCTCCAGAAGTCTTTTATTTATTCATTTAATTTTATTTTTTGTGTATGGGTGTTTTTGCCTGCATGTATGTTGTGTACCACGTGTGTGTGCCTGGTGCCCATGAAGGCTAGAAGAGGACGTTGGATCTGGAGCTAGAGTTACCTATGGTTGTAAGCTACCAAGTGGGTGCTGGGATTCGAACCTGGGTCCTCTGGAAAGAGCAGCCCGTTTTCCAATCACTGAGCCATTTTTCCAGCCCAGTATCCGGAAGTCTTAATGTCATTGGTTGCCCTTGACATTTTGAGGCCAGTTCTAGCTCTTCCAGGGCTGCCTTGAAACTATAACTCAGTCTGGCCTGAAAAACTCGCGTTGTCCAGCCCATCACTTCTCAGCTTTGGGATTCCAGGTGGGTGCCACCAGGCCTGACTGGGCGCTAAATTTTCAGTCATTGCTGTTGGTCAGCATTTTGTCATCAGTGATGCTGGCCCACTTCATTGTTAGGAAATGGGGAAGGTAGATTTAGAAGTAGTAAAAGAAAAGCAAACCTGATCACTAGGAAGAAGATCCTACCAGGTCCTCCCAACAGCAAGCTGTTAATGTCATTGGAAAGACTATTTGGGGCTGGGCAGATGGCTCATGCCATGTGAGCGTGAGGACCTGAGTTTGGAACCCTGACCCCCATGGGAAAGCTGATAGGCGGCGGGGGTGGGGCGAGGGTGGGTGTGCACTCGTAACTCCGGTGCTCAGAGGCAGAGGCCGGCAGATCTCTAGTACTTGCTGGCCAGTCAGCATCTCTGAGTCAGCTAGCCTCCAGGTCCCAGTGAGAGACATTACCTAAAAAACAGCAGCAAAATCCCACAGAAAACTACCACACCAGACCCCAAGGTAGATGGCTGTCTCCTGAGGATGACACCAGACTTTGACCCCTTTGCTTTTACATGCATACAGATAACCCGTGTCCGCACACACTCAAACACGCCTACATACCTGCACACAAGATAATGGGTTTGTCGTGTGTACCAGCGCAGCACCTGGTCTCTTAGTTCCCACGTTTACATTGTGGGGGTGTAGAGTTGTGAAGTGGAGGATTTCTTCTAGATGTTAGATCGAGGGAGCAATGTTCCCGCAGCTGTGCTGGGGTGCCCTGATGCCATGTGCTGCAGGTCTGCTTCTGAGGGGTGATATCTTTCATTAGGGCAGGAGTTTGCATCTTTTATTGTGTTTCACCATCACTAATTTATGTTATTTACCCTGTAGCAACATAGATCTCGTGTGCTCTTTTGCGTTCATCTCCAAAGGGGATGAACTTAGGGCACCGCGGCCATATTGCTGACCTTCTACCGTACCCGTTCGTTGAAGATAGCTATTGCTTTCTACCTGGGCCAGGTCCAGTGTTTAGAATTCAAGAAACTGAAACTCTGACTTGGAAATTGCTAGGTCCCAGGTTTAGAATTCAGCAGACTATGAATCTGACTTAGAAACTACTTAGTCCTCTCACAAGGAAGCAGCCTTCATTCAGCTCCCCACCCCCGTCCCATCTCCCCTCAAGACAGCACAGAACTTAAAAATGCTGGGTGAAACTGCACACATTGGCTCTAAGTTTAGGGAGTTTTATTTCAATTCTGGGTTCGATGATGAAGGACTTTAATATCCAGTCTGGAAAGGTGCTAGCTCTTGCTTTAGAGTGTGGTTTCTGCAGGGGAGACACTAATCTAATTCACTGGCTGCCTCAGGTAAGGCTGTGGTAATTGCTGGAAATATTTTTCTGGCCTTTGACAAGCATCTTCTAAACGGGCAAATCTTGATGCTCTGGATCCTGATGGGGTCAGGGTGGGCGGCAGTGTTCATTCTCACTTTGGTTCTTCTCTGAGCCTCAGGTTTCCCCAGAATCTACTGCTTTCCTTGACTCCTGAGGCAGAGAAGCCTTCAGCCTTGCCTGCTTGTAGCTGTGGCTGTGTGAGCGTCGTTCACCTGAGCCCTCATGCAGGCCACCCAGCTGCTGAGCTGTGTTTCTCGCTTTAGTAAAGGGAATTCCGGAGAATAAAGCTTTAACCCTGCTCTGCATGGCGGTGGTTCAGCTGAGAGTCTTTCCCAGCCCGTATCTTTGGGGGAGATGGCCGGTGTTTGTCTTGGTTTTCCTACCCCTAGGAGAAACTGTCATTGGTTTGAGATAGGGCTAGAAATACAGGGAAAAATGTTGGAAGCTTCTCACTAACTGAGAAGCAAGAATTTTGGCACAATTCACTGGGCTGAAGCATTTGTTATGAAGGATGCTGACATAAAAATAATATTCCTTTATATATTTAGGTATTTTAAAACAACAGTGAGCCAGGCTTAAGTCTGTGTATATATGACCTTGGGTATGACCTCATCCCTTTCAGTAGTCTTCTGGGACCTCAAACAAAACAGCTAGCTTTGTTGATAGTGAAGATATCCTATCTTCCTACGTCCCAGTGTTAGACTTTTACCTTATCAGTTGCAATCAGAGGTCCCTCAGCAATCACCCTCTGATCTCATTGAGGTTCCTTAGCAACCCTTTGAAGATAGTAGCTTAGAATCCCACCACAATTCCACAGCAACTGTTGCGAAGATACTGAGTCTGGATTATCTCTTGGGGGGAAAATCGTGCTCTTGGGTGGAGTGCCTCTCTTTCTCTTAGCCCTGCTGCTCAAGGCCATGTTGGCGTATCTTTATTAAACCCTGGTAGTCTTCATCCGGCCTAGGCTGAGGTTCTTTCCTGTGCCGCAGCCACAAATCCTGGTTTTAGCAGCTGAGGTTTCTAAAACGTTAGAGGAGTTCCTCAGAGCACGGTGGTGGCAGCGTCCTGACCCTGTCCTCTGAACACTGGCGGATTGGTTAATTAGCCAGACATGAATGTCCCCTGCTGTGCTCCTGGGTCTGGCAGAGGAGACTGTTCCTCAAGGATGTCCTCAGAACTCCCAGTCCAGGGTGAGGTGGCCATGCGGATGTCCACAGAAGTGGCCAGTGGGGTAGGAGATACCTGCATGGGTCCACCTGGAGACACATGAAGGCTTTTATCTTTTTTTAATAATAAAAATTATTTTTGATTTGCTTTGTGTGTATGAGTGTTTTGACTCCATGCATGTGCATGCACCATGTATGTGGTCACAGATGTTTGTGCGCCACCATGTGAGTGCTGGAAACGGAATTTGAGTCCTCTGTAAGCCCAAGTGGGAAGTAGAAAAAGACAAGCTCTCCTGAGTAAATTGGGAGCGTGGGGATCATGGGAGAGGGTAGAAGGGGAAGGGGAAAGGGAGGGGAGCGAGGAAAAATATATAGTTCAATAAAAAAGGAAGCTAAAAAAATAAAATATATTCATTAAAAATAGCAGCAAGTGCTTTTACTGCAGAGCCACCTTCTCTCCAGTCCCAGGAAGGCTTTCTTGACACCCCAGGCTGATGGCAGCTGACACATTCTGCAGAGGCCTCTGGGACAGATTTGGAGGCGTCTGTCCATTAGAGGAAGAAGGTGGAACACAGGCTTGCAGTGATGAGTAACTTAGTCTCCGCTGGGTACTTGGGGGGTGACACAAACAGCTGAGGTTTGGAAGCTTCTGCCTTAATTGTGTGGGTGTGGTGTTGGGGCTGAGAGTGTAAGTGATCTCTAATTTCCTGTTCACATAGTTGCTCTCTCTCTGGCTTGAGGATTCTTAGGTTGGCAGAGACAAAGAAGAGCCGTCGGTTCATGGTGGCGGCATCCTCCACCCTGCAGCTTCTCCTGAAAACGTATTTTCTTCCTCTGCTTGCTAAGAAACCATTTGCTCCCGAGCTTCAGTGAATCTTGGGGCTCATTCTGTAGATCCCTCCCACATGTTTGTTTCCTCCTTGGCTGTGCACCCACTCTTGGGTTCTCAGCTCGATTGTTGGAAGCCACGGTCTCCAGCTAGACTCATTGCTTCGGCGGCTGCTGCTTCTCTTCCCTAGATTGTTGTATTTCTGCTTCTCCCCTGTGACAGACATCTCTTGCGAGTAATATACTTGCTTCTGGAACTTCCTTAGCTCTGGAGGCCGGGCTGCACTGTGCTCTTATTCTCAGTGCTTGTTACTGCATCCTGGGCTTCTCTGGGCAGTAAATGGCAAACTCTAATGCTGCCTCTCTCTCCCTCCCTCCCTCCCCTTC